AAGGGCTCTCCATCATTAACAACCTTGATGTCTATCATCACAAACAAGATTATGATGGCTATCAACACTAGTATGAATATTTGTTGTCACCACCAAAGCCGACACTTACTTTCGTCAATAACCCAAACACCCACTATCACCACTAATATTTGCACGTGCCTTCATGAACGCCAACTCCCCTCGTGTAAAGAGAATAGTTGGGCAAATCATCAATCATCCTCATCCTACGCCCGTTATAAGCATCTTCTTTTATGATTAATGTCTATAACATTATATTAATAGTTTTATCAATTGCAGCAAAATACATCGCTTGACCATGATGCATATTGGATTTTCTTTACAAATTAGAAGAGTAATAATACTAATGTAGATCACTAGAAATCTAGTCCTAGCACATATAAACCAACATAGAGAATGTTAGTCCACCATAAAGTATTTTGCTACGAGCCTTGGAAAGGCCCAATTCAATCTAAACTTCAGGAATCATTTGAGCTTGCACTTAAATATGCTATCTTGGAGCCCACTTGTACACTAATTCTTAGACCAACTTTTAGGAATGCAAATTGATCAAAATGAATAGAATGCTCTCTTTTGGCCTCACTAAAATTCTTAGGAATAGCATGTTGGCATTAAATAATAAGGCTTCACGAGATTACTATTTTGCTTTACAGATAGCTCCATATATGAAAATTATGCAGGATTATTATAATTGATCTATATAACCTTCGAGTGAGCCATTTTCTGCCAGTATAGTTCGATCGAGCTTCTTTAGTTAAGTCTTTTGAATGAGACTGTCAGAAACTCCACTACTAATGTGCTCTTTTCTCTCTTTAAAGAGTTCTTTTGTATTCCTTATAATGCCTACATTGCACAAATCCAAGGAGAAAACCAATAGGAAAGGATTAATAGTTAAAATTTCCAAGGAAAATTGATGGCCGAAAAGAAAACCTGACGGTTAGAGGTCACAATCCTGATTGATGAACTTCATGGGTGTTTTTTAGGAGAAATTATTCCGTATTAAATTCGGACGGACAAAAATCATTCAGATTGTAAGGGTAAAACAGTGTACAATTTTCATACACAATTGGATTCAAACTATTTACACACTATTTTTACACAATATATACTCACAATCCGAACAATTCTTTCATCCGGATTCTGCTACAGAATAATTTCTCATATTCTCGAGGCCTAACATTGCCATCTTGCCATCTCTGAAAAACATTTTCAACACCGAAACTAAATATGTTAATTTTAGAAGATTACCAGCTCAGTTGAAACGATATTCACCAACAGAACTGTTAAATATCTTGATCGTCCCTCCAAAATATACAAATATTTTGCAATTTATATGATTTTCTATTTGGATTGTTATCTGACCATGTTTCAATTGTAATTAAATAGCTATAAAATTCAATCCAATTGAAGCCAATAAAAGTCTCCGATGAAGATGATGGGCAAATCTTTTATATATTTTTGCGATACAGGACAAAGTATAGAAATAAAATTGAAGTCAACCAGACAGCTAACGGCCAACCAAAGGCGAGGTAAATAGAATTATTGATCACCTGAGACCACATAATGACCAAAGATAAAGCCAGGCCCTTCCCTTCTGATAGCTGCTGTAGTTCATGAAAGTATTTTAAATATTGAACGGAACAGAACAATATTAGGGCTAGCAAAACTTGTATTGAAGTTTATACGGCTCAAATAGACAACTCTAGGCCAGACTGACAATCCAGATTGTTAGAACACCGCCCTTGTCATGTTCCAACTACCTAAGCACAAGGCTGCCTCCACTACCCTCCTCCGCAGGTTGTCACCAACGGCTCACTGCTCCCTTACACCTTTTTGTTCTCTTAGTTATATATACAAGCATTGTATGCTGCAGGATTATTATCAATGAAAAGGAATGTTTTCCTGCTAGCTTCTTCTTCCCTCTGCTTGTATCTCTAACTGATTTGCAGGTGTCTTCATGGTATCAGAGCCCCACAAGCTGCAACCTTCCTCTTAACCCATGGCTGATCAGGAATCCTCTTTGGCAGCTCAACCTGCCTCCTCTCTATCCACAACAATGGCGGAGTTCACCATTCCATCACCCCTCAAGTTTCTTGTGACTAACCTCAAACTTATAGTACCCAATCAGCTCACAAGCGATAACTATCTGGTCTGGAGACTGCAGATCTTCCAGCTTTTCTCTGCAAATGGATTTGAAGGACATCACACAGGCAGCAGTCCCAAACCTTCGCAATCCCTAGCTGAAACCAACCCAGCAGAATATTGGCTGTGAAATTTAGTCGACCAAAACCTTATATCTGCTCTTCTATTTACAATCTCTCCCTCGGTTCTACTGTATATTCTCACCATCTCATCAGCTCGGGACATATGGATCACGCTTGAACTGCATCTTCAACCTACAAACAGATCTCGTGTTATTCAGCTTAAAAATGAGCTGTATCACATTCAGATGAAAGATCTCACGATGATGTAATATCTAGTGAAGATCAAAGCTCTGGTCGACAATATTGTTGTTGTCGGATTCCTACTCGACCCAGAAGAAATCATTCTTCACACACTGAATGGCCTTCCACCATCCTACAATCTCTTCAAAATGGCCATCCGCACAAGCCAACTTCCCATCTGTCCTCTACTCCCTTCTTTGCAGTGAGGAGATTCATCTACAAACGGATTATCAGAGGGACACCAATCCGCTGTCGGACAATGCTGCCTTATATGCCAACCGCTCCAACACACCTCGTGGTCACTCCAACTACCGAGGATCCAAAGGTCGTGGAGCTCCCTTCAGACCAAACCTCACCAATAGCCACAACTCCTCCAACGAAAACACCAGGCCAATCTGCCAAATCTGCGGCAAAAATGGTCACGGAGCTTCTACCTGCTGGCACAACCCACCTCTCTCAATGAGTGGGTTCTAGACTCCGGGGCATCTGCTCACCTCACGCCAAACACATCAAATCTTCACTATCCAGTTCCATACAATAGATTTGAGACCATCTCCACAACCAATGGCAGCTCTCTACCGATAAATCATGCTGGACAGGGAATTCTTCCTCTTCATGAGTCTAACCGTAAGCTCTACCTACGCAACCTTCTTCATGTTCCCTTACTATCTCATAACCTCCTTTCCATACATAAACTAACGACTGACAACAATTGTTCCATCTCTTTCGACTCTAATGGTTTCCTAATCAAGGATCTTCTGGACAATCACACTTTCATTCGTGGACACTGCCGTAATGGTTTATACTCCATCATCCACCCGCCGACCATATCTCATACAACACTTCACTCTACCACATCCAACTTGGACAACTGGCATGCTAGACTTGGTAATCTCAATGCCAGGACACATCAATAACTAGCAAAAGTAGTTTCCTCTATATATATATTCCCTCTCCCTCTTTCGTTTGCAAGCCATGTAATGTGGCAAAAAGCCACAAGTTATCCTTCTCTTCTATCTCACATTGTGTAACTAAACCGTTTATGCTAATACATTTTGATGTTTGGGGCCCGGCACTAGTTCCCTCTCTTAATGGTTTTCGCTATTATGTCATTTTTGTTGATGATCACACATGATTCACATGGGTCTACTTAATGTATACAAAAGCTGACACTCTTTCTAAGTTTCAACAATTTCATAAGCTGATCACCAATACATTTGACTCCCAAATTCAAACATTTCATTTAGATGTGGCGGTGAGTTCACAAGCAATGCATTTCACACCTACCTCATGCAACATGGCATAACCATCTAACTCAGTTGCCCCTACACCCCAGAACAGAACGGAATTGCCGAATGCAAGCATCGTCATCTTCTAGAAACTACACGAACTCTCCTCCACCAAGCTCATCTTCCACATCACTTCTGGGCCGAAGCTCTTCTCACCTCCAACTATCTCATCAACAGATTACCTACAAAAGCATGTGAAAATCATATAACATATCAACTCCTTCACAAGCAAACTCCCACAAATTCCCTCCTCAAAACCTTTGGTTGTATCTGTTTTCCATGGCTATAACCAACCACACCATCCAAACTACATCCTCGCTCCCAAGAATGTCTGTTCCTAGGGTACTCCACCTCTCACAAAGGCTATTGTTGCCTAAACCTGCTCACAAACAAATTACACATCTCTCGCCACATTGTCTTCCACGAAAATATCTTTCCATACAAAGAACACTTCCCCTCCAATAACCTCAACACATTCCGACTCTATTTCTAACTCACATTCCTCTCCATATCTTTTGTTACCAACCTCACCCTATCCAATTCATCTCAGGAACCCAAATCACCAACAATTCCACAACCTGAACACCCACTCATCTTCAACTCTCCCGGGCATACCTCAGCTCACGACATCCTCACCCACTCCTTCCTACCAACCATCCGACCTTTCTCACCACCTCAACATCAACTTCCATTTATTGTGACAACACTTCGGCAATGACACTTGCCCACAATCCGGTCTTTCATGCAAGGACCACACATATTGAAATAAATTTTATCACTTCATTCAACACCATATCACCAATGGGGCAGTCACAATCAAACACATAAACTCAGCTGATCAACCGGCTGATTTTCTAACTAAACCGCTACCTCCAACTCGCTTCCTAGAGCTCAGAGACAAATTAAGCATTCGTCCAATGAAGGCTCAATTTGAGGGGGCCTGTTAGAACACATAATCTATATTGGCAGAACACTGCCATTATCATGTTCCAACTACCTCAGCACAAGGCTGCCTCCACTACCCTGCTCCGCAGGCTGTCACCAATGGCTCACTGCTCCCTTAAACCTTTTTGCTCTCTTAGTTATATAGACAAGCATTGTACTGCTACAGGATTATTATCAATGAAAAGGAATGTTTTCCTGCTACCTTCTTCTTCCCTCTGCTTGTATCTCTAACTGATTTGCAGGTGTCTTCACTGATGGCCCTAGTTCAAGGGTAGGGTGGCTACTGGACAATTTCCAGCAGAAGAACCAAATAGTTACATTATTTATATTTAAGTTAAAAATAGGAAGCCAGGAAAAAAGGATGTAGAACAAGTAATTTCTACACGATGGAAAGAATGGATCTTATCAAATAAACCTTGTTGCCATGTTCATCCAGCAACACCCTATGCTTAAATGTGATTGTAAGAAGAAGAAATGTCTTGTACGACTATACAGATTTAACAAAATTTACAGAAATACCTCCACAACAATGATCACCAACAAACTGACAAGCCATTAAGGTTGCATATTACCAGCAGTAACGGAAGTGATTTACCAGCTATGAACGTTCACTTTCAGAAGTTTTGTACACTGAAACCTCCTCCAAACCGTCAGGATGCTGGAGTTCACAAAATATTTGCAGGCAAGAAAAAGAGAAATCAAAATTGCTTTTGATGTATTTCTATAATCAAGTCTCGCATCTCTGGGAATATTGATACTATCACCAGTTCCAGCATGCTATATCCAAGTTGCTTCAAACAGACTGAGGACTGCGATGAGTAAGAAGCAGCTTTGTGAATATATGATCAAATCCTATGCAAGGAGAGGTAGTATGTATCTTTACCTGGAGAAAATAGTACACATCTTTTGCACAACGTCTATACTGGCGATGTCCAATCAGGCTGACCAGTGCTGTTGGAGCTCCACCTGTAATCTAAGTTTGTCAATGTATATATATTAAATTGAAAATCTGATAAAAATTTTACAGGATCGTTAGATTATGATGCTTATAATCGTAATTAGTCTTATTCCTACTATGTGGCTCTGGCGCTAGTCCTCTTTCTCAGTTAAAAAAAAAAAAAATCAATAAATTGGATGAAGTCAACATGAAAATTGGCAGATTATCTCTCTGGAATAAAGTGTGGTTGAATTTGGCAGAGCCAATTAAACAAATTCTGCTGATGCAAAATGATGAAGCAAACATTCTCGGTTACGTTTATAGATAGCTCAAACCGAAAAGGAATGAAACTTAAGATAAAATGTCTCACAATTTTGACGCAGAAATTGAAAAGATAAACTCGGATATTATCCAAGAAATGCAACTGAACCAACCAAATAAAACTAGTGTTTCATTGGAGATGCCTTGTAATGTTGTGCTTGTTACTCTTATAGAAAGCGAGTTATCCAGCAAAATTTAGCTTATTCAAACGAAGCATTAAAATTTTGATCAAGTGATGAGAACTAAAAGACTATTTGGTTATAACCAATTTAAATCCAATTCATAATAAAAACATCTATACAAAAAAACCCATAGAATTCTCAAAACAACAGAAGGGGGGTTAAAGCATAGATACTTGAAAATCATAGACAAAATACAAGAAACAAAAAAAACTCCATATAGAAAGAAAAATGAGAGCATTACTATAGATCTTCTTTCCTATAAAACTTGAGATCAAAGTTTTCAAGAACCAACTAACTGCAAACCTAAAAGAGTCATTATAAGTTGAAAATAATTATCTGCAAAATATAACCATAAGGTGGCATAACATTGAAGAGGTTCAATGAAAGACATAAGTTGATAACATGCCATATTTGGGACCACAAGATTGTTGCAACGTTCATATTAGACGACATCTAAATTCAATATCCCAAATGCCCAAATAGACATGCTAGAAATCTACCAGCTAGATAGCTCGATTACATGAACCGCAGTGTACATGTTTGTATAATTTACACAGAAAATATCTTTAACAATGTAAAAGCTATCATAAAAAAATATATAAAAAAGAACTAGTGAAATTCAAAAGACTAAAATTTTTCACTTGAAGTGGTCTTTATTATAGAGAACAAGATACGCCATACACAATAAATCGGGAAACATGCCCTCTTTATCCCACTCTCAGATACTTCTAAACTTGCCTGCTGTTTTACTTATCTAGGCCTGTTTTTGTTGCCTCACTGAAACGATCGATTGAAGAACATGGATCATAATATTAAGCAAGAACTTACTCACCACATCAATAGCATAACAAATATCAGTTCTAGTACGAGATAAGTAGATAAGTCTGCCCAAAAGTCTCTGATAGGAGGTTTTTCTACCATTGTGTCTTCTGAAACATCTACAAGTTTATGATTAAATTTAAAGGGTTCTCAAATAGGCTTGCATCCTACTAAGCCATCTCTTTCAACTATCACATTATGTATTTTAGTTGTGATATCAAGATTCCACGTTGAGAGTGTGCAACATCAATATCAAGAAAATATTTTAGTAAGCCTAATTCTTTGACCTCAAATTTTTGAAGCCATACCTGTCAAGGACAAATGGTGCACCATAACACAGTTCCTCGTAGAGCCATACTACATAACGCACGGCATGGCGCGTGCCATTTTAAAATGGAGCACAATATTAAATAATTATAAATAAAAGTATATATTAATATGAATTACTATTAAGTAGAAAGATAAATCATCAAGATAATGAAAACATCCAACGTAAAAATTAAGTTCAAGTAATCAACACCTCAATCACTCAAAATTGAAAACATTGTAACTATTTTTTAAATCTATTTCTTTTGTCATAAACTAGAGTAATCTTCGTAGGAGTCATTATCATCATCATCAAATGTAACAAAAAAAACTTATTACTTCATCAACATCATCTCCTAATTCATAGTCTTCTTCATTTGCCGCAAAAAATACACATCATACAATTACTATCACTTTCATTTGTCAATATTATTACATATTTCCATGCAGTATTCTTTTTTGTGGTTTGAATTAATTTGACATTCTTTCTATAAACAAGCATGAATTCAAACATTTTTTACTTTCCTTGTAATTATGTGAATGAAATGGTGAATAATAAATAATAAAAAAGTGACATTAACTGATTCGATAAAAGTAAAGATATTTCATAAATAACTTGTGCTCTCTTTTTTAGAAATTAAGGCACATTTATATATAATGATGGCACCATTAAATTATTAAATATATGATAAAATTAATAAATATAAACATTGATATTAATTTTAAATTTAAAACAAAACAATAGCACATGCTAAGTAAGTTCTATGTTATGCGTTATTGCTCCTGTATGGAGCAACTAGCTTAGGTCATTTTGAACAAGAGCATTGTGTCAAGCAAATGACACCAAGCGTGCGTTGCACTAAACCATATGCCATGGCGTGCGCTATTTTGCATCATTAATATGTATGCTTGGAGCATTCTTTTCTTTAATTCTGGTGGAGGCCTGTAGTGATATTAATGTACCAATTATTTGTTTGACTCAAGTATATTGGTAAGAGACTAAGCGAACCATTTGATTGCCTCCGAAGTTTCACTTAAGTTATGTGGAACCCTAGACGAACTTTTATTAGGTCAAGCCAATTATTAGAGGCATCGGGGGCACAATGTCCTTAATCTATTTTTAAACTTTAAACAGGTAGGATGGCTAGACAATTTTGATGAGCCATGTCATAAAATCAAGGGCTCCAACTGGGGCATCATTCTAGGCGAAGAGGCTATGTTAGTCCAAACATGATGCTTGTCGTAAGCTGACAAATACTCAAGGATTTTATACCCATATAAGTAAATATTTATTGTTTTTCATTTCATATATGATCAAATTTAAGAACTCATACACTCACTAGTAGCATGGTTTAGAACATGCTCATTTCAAGCATGTACGACAATGTAAAGAATGTTGATACATGACAGGACCAAGAGAGTGCATCCAAGCCCTATCCAAAATATGGTAGAACGAATGGTAAATAGAATAATTAGGCCGAACAATTACCTTCATTAAAAATATTATCTGTATAAATTTCTAAATTATATATAACAATATTTGATTCTCTATATATGAACCAAAAGACGACAAGCGTCTACATCCAACACTAATTTCCTCTTACATTTAGCATTCATACGCTAGATCTTTATAAGATGTCAACGAAATAATTGTTGTCACAAAAATGATTCATTTCTGAACACAACCGAGAGAATTTCAGTCCATCAAAGCTGCTTATTGTTTTTAAAAAAGGTCCAAAACATCTTTAACAAAAACAACAGTCTTGAAAAGTGCTTCAGAAAGAATAAACATTTATCAGGAAAGAAGAAATAGCCCAGTCACATAATAAAGAACAGAAATTCAAACCTCATCAACTTCAAAACAATTTCTTTAAACCAATCAGAAACTTGTGAAGTAATCTCACCAAGAATCATCTTCTTCACATCACTTGCTCTGCGAGTTGCTTCAAGCTGGAACTCAAAAGAGCTAGGCCCACCAACTTTATCACTGTACCGCTGGCTCCTATTTAGAGTCGATTTCTGATTGAAGTAGTTTCCATTTGCTTTTTCCTGTGAGCTCCCAAACTTTATAAAGAACGTGCCATTAGGCCAAAGGATCTGATTACAAAGGAAAAGTTAAATTGTAAAAGTTAAATGAGAATTCAGTTGTTTCCCATTGCACAGGAAAGCTTTGAACAAACACAAACTATGCATGGATTCTACTAGTAACACATAACACAGACATTTCACAAAATCAGAGTTCGATAGAAGAAACATCACCAACAAACCATTCATTTCTTCAATGCAAAACTTCACAGATCCATGGATGTTTTAGACATTCATAAAACAATCATAAAAATCCACAAACGTAAGCACGAAACTGAAAATCATGAAAGGAAATGAGGAAATGAAAAAGATACCACTCACTGAAAAAAGAATCCACCCTAAAGAATAATTGAAACAAGTACTTGGACCATGCAATTATCTTTAACTAATGATGGGTGTTTCAAGTCAAAATATGAAAAAAAGGGGTATAATATGCATCTCAGCCCACTGATAATAACATGCATGATGGGTTACATAGAAGATGAAAGGGATTTCTAACGCACGTCTATGTAAATGTCATAGCCAATAATGTATTGAAAAAAATCAATACACAACATTTTTTTATCAGAAACGTTTTGAAATGCAGTGTAGGGCGTTTGCTCCTTCTGGCTTCCCAAGATAAACTAATTGGTATTAAGTGAAAAAAGAAAACAACCACAATTTGGCTAGTAAGCCAACAGTCTGTGATACATCAGTGAATCATTAGTTGCTGAAGACATGGTGAGGACACCGGAGGAAAAGGAGAGATAACAAAAGGATGCATGAGAACTGACGGCAGACTAAACCTCGAAGTTTCAAGTGCTTGTGTGCAATCTTGATGTCTCCTTAGCCAACAAAACTTCTGCGGGAACATTAATCTAAACCACCCCAATTCAACATTTTGGTACGATAGATTTGTGTATATAATCTCCAGCTATAACTATGCTTCAGTTGGGAAGTAACTAAGCCTAAAGAAAAATTTGTTGTACTTCTTGCCATTAATAGAAATAAATACATATAAGCCAATTTTGAATTTGAAATGCATACAAAAAACCTGACAAAAAATAAAAGGATTTACCAAGAAGATGGATAAGTTGATGGGGCCAAGCTTTCAAGGATATAAGTGAAGTAAATTACAAAATAAATATATTTGCATGCACTAACAGAAAAATTACAAATTACTATTATCATATGACTAGCATATAACCACTTAAAGTAAAGGGATAATATTCTAGCATATTAAGAGCATATTATGAACATAAGTACTCCTAAAAAATTGATTATATACCAGCAAGGATGTAAAAGACATTTTAAGTCTTATAAACATGCTTGTCTTTATTCTAGATGGAAGGCCAGCAACCAAACTGTAAAGTGCAAATCATAAAAAAGACAGGTAACAGAAGTGGGACCAGAAGTTCGCAACATTACAATTAATTGTCCATAATAAACATTTACCAGAAGCTCTATTGCTAGTATGTTAAATCCATAAAATTTATGATATAAGCGAACGCTTGGCTCAACACACATAATTCACACACAATCACATAAGCTCCATTGCTAGTATGTTAAATCCAGCAAATCATCTCTACTATGTGGCAGACTTATCAATCTCATAAGTATGTGTGTATATATCTATATGTGTGCGTGTGTACATGCACGTACTCACCCTACCTTTAGGTTGGATCAAATGAATCATTTAAGAAGTTTGGACCGATTTCCCTTATTTTTAGAAGTGTTTTTTTTTTTAAATTCCCGTAGTTTAGCAAGGGACTTCAACAACTAGCCTCCTTGGAGGAAATATCTTTGAGTTGAGCTCTACTTTAATTAATTTTTTCCCTTGGAAGAAGTTTGATCACAATGAGAACTACTACAAGACGATCCCTATCAGCATCCTTAGGATGAACCCATATAATGCTCAACATCATAGTAGCCAAAGGTGAAGAGAGATTTAGATTCTATCAAGAAGAGGATTTGAAGTGGAAGAAGAGGATTTTTTAGCCGTTCAGGTCGTTTTTAGCCATAGACTCAGTTCAAAAAGTTGTCCGGATCGAGATAGGTCACATTATGTCCATCTCAAGTTTCAAGAATACAAAAAATTTATCTAATTTTCTGATCAAATTTCATTTTTCCGTTAACGAAAAACGTGGATAACTTTGCACTGATAAAATTTTCACCACGGAACTTTTTATATTTTATAAATATTAAGATTATGCACATTATGAATATTTTATGTAAAGTTTATGATGAATGTTTCAAAATTTATGGAGTTTTTATTGAATAAAAAAATATATGGATGTTGAAAAATAGTGTTGTAGTATGATAAAAGTCTTAAAACATTGTTTTACACAATCTATGGTAATTTGATTATTTACTGAAAATGAGCATTTTTGCTTAGTAGGGTTTTCTATTGCCTACTGTTATAAAAAACTATACAATTTTGATACATGCTCAATTACTCTTTAACTGCTATAATGTGATGATATATGTGCATATGTGATTAAATTGTATGTGTTGGGATACATAAGAAGCCAGAATCTTTTGAGATGTTATCTGTGTCAGGGAATATTCTAATGCCTATAAGGCATGTTTTGATGGCTATAAGCCATGTTCTAGTGCCTATAGGTATGTTATGGTTTTATAAGCACAAAAGAGAGTCATAAGAAGCAGAATCCTTTGAGATTCTCCCTGAGTCCAAAGAATGTGATATGAAATGTTATATGATATGAATTGTAATTTATTCATATGTTTAGTATTTTTTTTAATAATTGGATAACTATTATGTTCGTATGACATTTCTCAGTACAGTAATTTATTAGATTGCATTTAATTAATTTTAAATATTCAACAAAATATTTAATAAAAAAAATTGAAAATAGCTTGTGTGGTCTATTTAGCTGTTATAGCTCACTGTGGTTTTGTTTTTTATTTTTAGGATTTGGGAAGAGGAGGTAGACTGTTGATTAGTAGTTCAGGATCTGATCAGAGTTTATAGGTATTTTTCTATTTTAATTTGTGTATAATCATGGCTAGTTTATTATTCAGTTCTGTAACTTTTGCATATAGCCATGTACTGTACTGTATATACATTTTGATAAAATGAAAAAAATATTGTGGATGAGTTTATTTCAGTAGTTGGATGTTTTAGTAGCTCTGTAGTATATAGTTTATTTAAAATGAATATTAGAAGAGAATCAGAAACATTTCAAAATTAGATCATGGGATTTGCTTTTCATAGCTCAATACGATAGGACCTGCCAGGATCTGGTTGGGTTGTGACAAACTTTTGTGGTATCACATGTTTATTTTTTTATTAATTATTATTATTATTTTTTTAAATGTTAGCATTCTAATGCTCAACATACATGCATGGGTATATAAGGCATGGCCTTTGAATTTGTTATCAAGATCTTTCGATACTGGATATCTAGAATTTGTATTGTCAATATGTCACTCCCCAGCATTCACTAGGCAACATATTTTTTCAAGACTCAAATCTTATACAATGTAAGTTTTATCTTAAATTAGCTCATTTGGAAAGCTATCCCAAGGCTTCACTTCGAGATTTTCCCTTATCATTTAAAGAAAACCTACAGGGAGGTTTAAGGTGGCTTGCATCCCTTCTTCAGGAGTCATCTCTCTTTGATGGGAAGGAGAAACTTATGGATGGAGGACTTAATTTCTAAATTTATTGTTCTTAACTTCCACATCAAATCTCCAAAAATTGTATCATCCAAATGTCACACCTCAGCACTCACTGCATTGTATCTTTTGAAAGAATCAAATATTTTGAATGAAAGTCATATCTTGAAACAACTTCTATTGCAAGCTATCCCAATTCTTTTCTTCAAAATTGCCCCATTGTATCTTGAAGATAATAATTTGAGAGATTCATGGTAGAATTACAAACCCTATTTGAGAGTCCTCTCTTCATGATGGTTGGATAACCTTATTATTTAAGGCCTTGATCTTTTGAACTTGCCACCACGAACTTCCTACAACGGATTTATGGTAAATGTTTTTCCCAGGTATTAAGCCTTGGTGTTTACCTAATAGCATCTTTTATAAAACTTGAATCTTTTGAAGCTCGATTCATGTCTTGGAGTGATTTATCTTATAAGTCACTCTTTCAAGTGCTTTATATAAGGAAGGGAGCCATGAAGAAGCCTTGGTTCCTTCTGAGCCAAGAAAGAAACCTTGGCTCTTTCTTAACCTATTTATGCTTAGACATTATAGTTGTGGATATCTAAGGTTTGTATTGCCCCCAAAGCCACATCATAACGCCAGCTGAATTTAAGCATATGAGAAACAAACCATAAATGCTGATGCATATACTTTGCTTGAATTAAAAAACATATCACTACACAAAAGTGACAAACAGGTATTTCTATTCTTACATCTTGGACCCAATGGATCCCATGCGCAATAACTTCATCTTTACGCAGCCAATGGATTTGCCTTAATATCCAGTCATCAATAGCATCTTCCATTATTAGCTGCAAAACCTGTTTTGAAATCCAGAGGACCTGTCTCCTGTAAATCGAAGGATCATAACAAACAAATGTAAATTAAATAGCAATAATTGATGTCAAATGACAAAATAGTTCAGCGAATTTACAAATAGCACAACTTGAACATTCCAATATAAGAGTATCCTATTTCACTCAAGTGATGATATTAGAGAAACTCAACTCTGTCTTTCTGACAGTATCATGTTCCAAGGGGAAGTGACCAGTGAGGACATACCCGATAGGTCAACACAATTATGAAAGAAAAACAAATGAAAGTCCATAGCTTTCATTTGTCAATGCAATAAATTTCTGAGATAAAAAAAAAAAGAACAGAATTTCAAGCGAAAGGAAAATTTTGCTTGATTGGTGAGTAGATAGACTAAATGGCTATGGCAACGATCAACAATAAAATAGAGGAAAAATAAAAACAAATAATAATTTTGCTAAAAAACTTATGGCAACAATGTCGATGCAACTCTGTTGGGCAGATAAATTTTAATTTCAGAGTTCCAAAACATGAGTAAATATTACTTTGACCATTGGATGAGTAGAAAAATGCTGTGCATAACTGTGTTAGACCTGCATCATATATGGGACTTGTGCTTTGAAGGCATATTTGGGACTCTCCCAGGAGTAGCCAAGAGAGCCATTCGGCTTTTTGCATGCCACATCGGCCAAAGCATAGCCCCATGCACACAGGTGGCACTTTTCATGGCTCATATTATAATTTACGTAAACTTAAATTAAATGTAGACTACTATTTAAAAAGTCACACGTGATTCTACCAATATATGATCCCAACCTTTCATTTTTTTAAAAATAATCCCAATGTTCCATTGGCCTCCAACAACATTAAATTCGTATCTTTGAATTCTAAGCATTGTATAAATCTCTAAAAGTTAGAATTAAAAGCATAAAATTATTTTAATAAATATTTAAGAAATAGATGATACTCTAATAAAGTATATAAAGTTATGACAATACCAGAATGAATTCTAATTTGTGACGCGTTGTATGGCTTGAATATAGCGACAAGTGTGCAAGGGCCATTGCACCGGCGCCCAAGTGCAGTGTTAAATAGGCAAGAGTTCCCACATCAATGACGGATGTGGACAAAGAAGCTAGTCCATGAAACTAAAATTAGAATAGGAACTTGGAATATAGGCTCCCTTACAGAAAAATTAATGTAATTAATAGATATTATGATTCATAGGAAGATGAATATTCCGTGCACTCAGGAAACTAAATGGGTTGGAGAAAAGGCTAAGGAGATTGATAGTTTAAGATATAAACAATGGTATTCGAGTGGGAGTCGTACTAGATATGGTGTATGTGTTATTATAGATAAGAGTTTGAAGAATAATGTTATAAAAATTAACAGAATTAGTGATAAAATTATAACTTTAAAGATTGTTGTTGATGCTAAGATTGTTAATATTATAAACGCTTATGCTCCTCAAGTAGATTTGGATATGTGTTCAAAATTAAAATTTTAGAATGACTTAGAAGAATTAATACAAAAGATACCTCTTGAAAAAAAAGTTTTTATTGAAGGAGATTTATATGAACATGTTGGTAGAGAGGTAGATGATTTTAAAAACATTCATGGTAGTCATGAGTTTAGAATGATAAATAAAGGTGATAAGACCATATTAAATTTTTCTTTAGCTTATAATTTCTCAATAGCTAATACCTTTTTTTTAAAAAAAGATGAGCATCTTATCACTTATAAAAATGGATATAGTAAAACACAGATTGATTATTTTTTTATAAGAAAATTAGATCGTTTAGATTACAAAGATTGTGAAGTTATTCCGAGTGAAAATTTATATACCCAATATCGATTATTAATTTTGGAATTTAAGATAAAGGATCAAAAAAAAAAAGTAAAATAATTTTCTAGTATTAGATGGAGGCATTTAAAGAATATTAACAAAAGCATTTTTTAGAGTAAGATTTTAGATCATAAAATTTTGTCTGTGCATGATGATAATAATATTATGTGGGAAAAAATGGCTAGTGATATTAAAAACATTACAAAAGATGTGCTTGGAGTTTCGAATGGAAAAACTCCTAATAGTAAAAAGAGTTGGTAGTGGAATCCAAATGTACAAGAAAAGATAAAATAAGAAGATTTGTTATAAAAATTGATTTAGATGTAAAAATTCTGATAATTGAGAAATCTATAAAGAGGCCTGTAAGAAATCTAAAAAAATCATTTGTGATGCAAATAACTTAGCTTTTAATGATTTATATAATAGATTAGATACTAATGAGAAAGAAAAATATATGTATAAATTAGTCAAACAAAGAGATAGGAGTAGTAAGGATTTAGTTCAAATGAAATGTATTAAGGATGAAGATTAAAAAATACTTTTCTTAGAAGATGATATTCAACAAATATGGATGAGATATATTGTTAAACTTTTTAATAACGATGTGATACTAATGTTTCTCAAAATCAATTTGGATTCATGCCGGGTAGGTCTACTAGGGAAGCCATACATTTATTGATAGGTTTGATGGAGAAATATAGAGAGAATAAGGAGGATCTACAAATGATATTTATTGATTTAAAGAAAGCATGTGATAAAGTTCCAAGAGAAGTGCTATGGAGAGCTCTTGAAAAGAAAGAAGTTAATAACGCTTATATTCAAATCATTAAAGATATGTATGCATGAGCTCCTCTTTCGATTGGATTACATCAAGGATCAAGCATAAGTCCATATCTTTTTGCTTTAGTCATGGATGTTCTCACTAGACATTTGCAAGAGGATGTACCTTGGTGTATGCTTTTAGCTGATGATATTCTTCTTGTTGATAAGACTAGAGAGGAAGTTGAAGGTAAACTTGAATTATGGAGGTCAACCTTAGAGTCTAAAAGTTTTCGCTTGAGTAGATCTAAAACAGAATATATAAAGTGTAATTTTAGTAGCAATAGACCTAGTGAGGGGATTGTGACTTTGGGATATCAAGTCATTAATAAGAGTGCATGTTTTAGATATCTTGGATCTATTGTTCAGAGTGATTGTGAAATAGATGGGGATATTATTAGCAGAATTCAAGTTGGATGGTTGAAGTGGAGGAATGCATTAGGCTTATTGTGCGATAGAAAAGTCCCCCTCAAACTTAAGGGAAAATTTATAAGATGGTGATGAGACCTGCAATGCTTTATGGTGCCGAATGTTGGCCATTAAAAGAGAAGCATAATACTAAGTTTAGTATTGCAAAGATAAGAATGCTTAGGTGGATGAGTGGTTTTAACCTTAGAGATAGGATACGAAATAATTATATACGTGAAAAGGTTGAAGTAGCTCTAGTGGAAGATAAGATTAAAGAGCGTCGCCTTAGATGATTTGGTCACATTAAACGGAGGCCTTCCGATGACCCGGTTAGGAAAGTTGAGGTATGTAGACCTAAAAAGACTTGGTTATAAAATATTAGAAATGTTCTTTCTTTATTAAATTTAAATGAGAATTTGACTTTTAACAAAACACAAAGGTGAAAAATGATTCATGTAGTCGACCCCATGTAGTGGGGCAAAGGCTTGATGTTGTTGTTGTTGTATTTCTATCACAATTTCCTTTGAAGTCTTTTAAATTTTCAATTATTTTGCAACAAAAACTAAATACTCCTATCCTCTAAATACTCTTCTACTCAATTTATGATTTATTTTGTAGCAAAAATTTAATTAAATATCACCATGATATACAACTCATAATAAAATCATAAAAACACTTATATACTGCTAACTACTTCAACTCTATTTTGAAAGTATTTAAGAACATAAACACTATTTTAGTATTCAAAATTTATTTAATTTATATTAAATTAAAAAATTTTTGTGAGAGTATTACATTAAAATTTATTTAAAAATTACATCTATGATTTTAATCAAACCAATAAAAATAATTAAGAAATAAATAAAAGATTTTAAAAATGTAAGCATAAGTTTGATTCCAATCTTATTTAATATTTTAGCCTATGAATTTTATAAATACTTTTTAATCATTAATCAAAATTATTATGTATTTGAAAAAATTCAAATTTTATTAATACAAGAATATTATAAAATTTATTAAATATAAATGAATACATGTGCATATGTCTTAGATTATATTTCTTTGGTTTTTAATAATTTGTATAGAGTTTTCGAATATTATATGATGCATACATTTGAAAATGGTTATTAAAACTTAAATAATAGGAATACTGATGCGGACATTCGACGGTGGATGATATTCAAATGAAGAGTCAAAGATCGACGACCGAGATCACTCTATTTTATTTTAGTTTATTAATTGTATTTTGATTTAATTTTGCAATTTTCCCTTTTTTTACCCTTTTATTTAAGAGTCTTGTCTTATGTAAGCCCTAGGGGCATATATGTCTTGTTTAGTTTCTTAAGCCTATATACATAGGCCCTTGCTTAAGTAATGTAATGATGAATTATTAAGAAAAGAAATTTTATTTACACTTCTGTTCTTCGGAGAGAACTTGGGTGAGATTCTTATGGGAGAGGGAGGGAATCAAAGTTTCCACCAGCCGCAGGATGTGTCCGGGCTCGTGGCGTGAAGTCCCTTGGAGAAGGGCAATGTACTACCCGTTAGCTGCAGGATGTGTCCGAGCTCACGGTTATATCTTTCTTTCCCTAAATCCTTTTCTCCTCCTCCCCTCTCTTCACCCCAAGCTGCCAACCTAAGGCGTCACCAAATTCCTTACCGCCGGCCACCTAATCCTCCCACACCCACCAACCTCAACATATCACCACATCTCCAAATCAGCCCCTTAAAGTCCACCTAACCGCCGGCCCATCTCCACCACCCCTAGCCAAGCCGCCGATTGCCATCCCCCTCCCTTGCCTCCAATTCTCCAATCTCCACTTGAATAATATTTCCTTTCTTGCTTAACTTCTTTGGGAAAGTCATTTAATTTTAAATCAATTAATTCAAATTTGAAATTTGAAACCTTTCCTAAAAAAGAATCCTATTTTAGGAAAGTTTCTAAAATCAAATTTAAAAT